AACTCTATCCCAGCCAAAACCAGGACACCATGTAAGAAAAGTCTGAGTGAGCATCAGCCCAGTCTGTGAATTTTGACAAGGTGTAAGATGTGTTATATTGTGGCTAATATTAATTTCCTAAAAATTAAATTTAAGCCAGTGTATGAAGCAGAAATCACACAAAGATATAGTATTTTTCTTTGTAGTATAATATAATGTTTCTTATTCTTACACTGATGCATTTAATTAATGCTAGAAGCTCTTCACAGACTTTGCCATATAAGAGGGCAGCCTGTAAAATGATGCAAGTTTCTGTAGTCACTGCTTAAGACTTACAAACTTCATTCCTTTGCCACTTGAAGTAAATTTAGCCTGAGATTTTTGTTCTGCAATGATTCTCGTGGGCTCTGAACTCAGTGTTTACCACACTAACAATAATCCTTTATGTCTCCAGACTCTATCCATGTTCCTTGTTAACCTTCAGTCACAAAGTAATGAGATGCATCAGACATCATCAAGCTGGCCTAAGGGGTTACAAATTTGGATGACGGCCACATACTGTACTAATTGCTTCTAATAAATTACATATTTCAGGAGGGACATCATGATTTTAATCATTTATTCTGCATGTTGTTTCCTTTGGAGAGAAGAACAAGCAGGCACTAAACAAGGCGAGCATCAGAAATTCATGGCAGAAGCTAGAAAGAGCTCATTTAATATCAACCATCATTGTAAATACTAGAATTATGCATGTATCAAATCCCTGGGTCTGAACACTTTGGGAACAGCCAGTGAGTCCTCATTGTTTTAATGAGTCAAACCAAAATTATGTCTTTGAATGTTCCTTAGATTTATAACAACTCAGATTTAATCCCATTTCAAATGTTGTAGCTGGGGCCTAGCTCAAGAAAAAGTCTTTGTTTCTATGCAAAGAAAAATACATTAAGAGGGGAATTTGAAGGATGTATTTCCCAAAAGGCTGAGAGGGAAAACAGTCAAATGTTTCTTTCACCTCTGTGGGGAAAGACTTTAATTATGATTTGATGGCAGCTAATTGCAAAGGCGGTCCAGTGAACACAGAAAACTGCAAGAACTTTCTTTAAAGCCGATGAAATTAGTAGGATCTTGATGCTGATCTAAATAGCCTCCTGCAGGGTGAACTAGGATGAGAGCAGGTTTCCTATTTCCCTGACCTCTAGCACACCCACACCAGTGGACTCAATGAAATACTCAAACCATTTGGGAATGCACTTCCTTCACGGGGGGAGACCTTGATGGTATTTAAATAGCTGCTAGTATTAATAGCAATAGCTGGTAGATAATGTGGAGACTTGGGAGCTCTAGGGAGTGATGCAGGTTTGGTAACAGCTCAGGCTGTCTTCTGTTTGTCTTTGTAAGCTTTGTTTCCTGTCATTTCAGTCTGCCTTTCCTTTCAAGGATGAGCTGACATACCAAACAAAACATGACTGTCTAGGTAAAAGGAAACCTGCTCAGTACAAAGTATGCTATGGGATGGAAAGTTGCGGTTGTAGCTCTGAGACTCAAATGTGCTCTTTTGATATTCTAGTGGTAATGTGACGCCAAGGAACCACCCTTACCTGAGATAAGTGTAATCTGCTTTTGCTTTGGCACTCTAAGTTGCCTTCTACTTGGTCTCTCTCTACCTGGGAGGGTTATCATCCCATTCTAGAGTTCTCTGGTGAGTGTGAGAGGAATAGCGTGAGAATCCAGCAAGGATTCCAGGGGCTCCTCTAACACACCAACAAGAATAATGAAGGTATCTCTAGAATGCTATTTGTGGATGCATGACGGATGGATGGATGGGTGGGTGGATATTTGTGCTAAAAGAGTTGGACTTCTACTTTGTACAGAGGAAAAAGACCAAAGGATTTTTCTTGCTTTTGTCATACAGAACAAGAAGCAGATTAGTAAATAGGAGAAACAGGCCTTACGCAATGAGAATTGACTGGAAAAGATTGCCCCAGGTATAACTGGTGACTCTTCAAATTGAGAAGCCTTCTTCTGGTTGTTTTTATGGTGTTTTTCTTAGGGAGGTTCAAGCCAACCTCCGCACATGAAGAACAAGAGCTTAAAATGAAAGAATCCGATGGAGATTCAAGATAAGTGTATTAGAGCATTGCAAATTACAGAAGGATGAGAGAATTTGAAGTTTAGACATAAAAGCCCAAGAGTAACAGAAGAAAAGTGACACCAATAGGGGAAATAGAGGTGATGAATCCTCAGTTAAGATGTTCCTATACCTAGAAAACAATGTGACAAGAGGTAAATCACAGCATACTGAAAATATGATGGATTAATTTGGTGCAATCTTCAGATACCAACTTTTGCCAACCTTGCATGCTACATAAAAGTGTGGAATTAACAAACACTAGTGTAGCAGGGTTAGGAAAAGCAACATTTTTGAAAGCAAAATGGAAAACCTCTTTGACATCCAGGTTTGGTAATATAATACTAACAAGAACGCTGCACTGAGCTGTTATCTGGTTTGCTGTCTGATTCGCTCTCCAGATTACCACTTAAATCAATAGCTCTCACATTGATTTTTCCAGCACACTGTATTCCAGTAAAAAGAACAATGCTCTGAGATGAGTCAGCCAGTTGCTCCGTCTGTAGGGAATCTGGTGCATTTTTGTTTAGGAAAATAAAAGCAGGCGCCAAAGTAGACACAAGTATATAGTAATAAGAACCTGCCTGTTGCATCATAACATGACAATGGCTCTGCAGACACATAGGTTTGCTACAGCTTGCTGCAGCAACTACAGACCCGCCTCAAGTTAGAGCAAGCTGTTGTAAGGATGGAACAAAAATATTCGGGGCAAATAATAACACAGTCTTACAGTTTATATGACTGCTATGGCAGAGCTGAGAAATATGCCCACATTTAACTAAGAAGCTGATCTCCATATATTTACCATGACCTGTAGAACATCAGCAATACTGCATTTTCATTTATTTCAGATGTTTTCATGTGTTTGTATATTCCATGTAACATGTACTACAGTCCTGGTACTGTAACTGGCCATCGCTATTGTCTGGTGTTGCTTCCACTCATTTTAACCATGTTAACAATTTATGATTTTGTCTGTAATCACAACAAGCAGCTTCATTTACTCTTGCTTTCTCTCTTGCTTAGCCATGAATTCATGAAAGCAGCAACTCTTCTCTCACACAGTTTTGTAATTATTTCAAGGAACTTGCAAGAAGTGCAGCAGAAATATTTTCAGAAGAAATAATAATCTCAAGAGCTGTTCGGAGGTTTGGAGTCAGGCTGAAGCATGACTCTCCCCACGGTTTCTCTTGACCACCTCTCTGCTGCAGGCATAGAGCAGAGCTCATGCCATGGCCCCTCATCTCTCCCACAGCTCTGCACACGTGGCTGCTGTCTTGGCTTCCAGGCTCTGCCCCCGCCTGTGAGCTTGGCTTATTTCTGGGAACTTTGAATTAACAGCAGTTAAAAACTACTAAAATGCCAGAGAAATGTAACAAATGAAAATGTTAGTCCCTCTTTTCCCCTACAAGTTACGTTTTATGGAGATCTATTATCTCCATCTTTAAATGTAAGGTACAGGATTACAGTCTATCCCATCTTTCATTAATAACAGCCCTGGAGGATACGGAGCAGCCAAAGGGGATGTAAAAGAGAGAGGCTTAGCATGCAGAATCTCATTCTTTACTGTATATTGAAGACCATATTGTGAATATACTGAGGGAGAAACAGCCCACAGGAAATAAACATATGCAAAGCTGTGGGAATAGTGTGTAATTATGAAGCCTGTTATTCTGAAAATACTGCTGAATATTGCTATCTTCAACTGCTATAAAACTAGAATCATTACAAAAACTCTGTATTTCTCAGTAATGCTTTCATAGCATTGTGTATTTCACATTGCTACATGTTTGCCTCCTAATCTCTTAGTCTAAACAAAACAACATTCATGTTTTCATAACAATGAAAAGGAAGGAATAATGGATTTTCTACTTCAAGTAATTTCTAAATAAAAAGATAGTATTTATGGCAGTTACAGTATGGTAAAACTGGAGCAATCCAGCCTGTTTACAGGAAGGGTTATCAGCTTCCAGGTGTCCACCTGTGTATCTGGGAATACTATGTAGCTTAGGGTGTTACCCTGTTGAGGAGAGGCATTTTGTGCTTTGCTTTGTTCCATTTACAAGATATTTCAGGTTAGATGTGATCTATCTTGAATCACTCTCCTACTTTCCTATTGTTCCCTGGGAATTAAGTTGATGTAGAAGCAAACTATGCCAGGCACTTCCCCAGGTCTCGGCAGGGTGTTAAAGGTAACACTGAGTAGGCTGCAGTCCTTGAGAGGAGATATAAGGACCTGTTTCACAGAGTGCTTCATTTGCACGGTATTTAGTTTAGGTTTGTACAGTAAAATAAGACAGCAGTGAGATGAATAGGTATTATTGCTACCCATGCAAAGCTTCTTCCTTCCACAAATTAGTATAATTAACTGTAATAATATTATTTCTAATATCCAGTACACAAACTTTAGCCCCTTTTGACAAACAGATAGTAAGTCTTGTGTGGCACCTGACTGATGTTTTAATTGTTGCTGAGACAAGTACTAAAGAACTGAAGCTACAGAATGAGATATGTGGAACTGGCTGATGTGGTAAATCACCTAACAACAGCAGCAGTATTTCATACAGCAAATCAGATACCTTACCTTTTTTGCCAGGTAGTAAATTGTGTTAAGCAGAAGGAATGGAAATTGAGGCTCTTCATTATCTATCAAGAGACATCTGGCACAATAGCCTTTGGTCTGCAGTCTGAAAATGATCCTGCACTGACAAGTGTCAGGCTGAAGTTCTGGTGAATCACTGTAGATCTTGCTTCACTGCAAGCATGGTCAAGTCAAACTCTGTTCAGAGTCATTTGAGAAACAAGGCCTAAATGTAGCTGTTCCAATCCCAGCTAATATTCCAACTGCTTTTACACTCATTCCTGAAAAGCGTGTAAGCTTTTAAACATTTACCAAGATTTCTCATTTCCCCTTGTCTTCACAAGAAAGGCTTCACACTTCCTATGATCAGATACCCAGCCCACAACTTTGGCTATTCTCCTTTTCACAGCTGCCTGGAAAAGGAGGCAGAACATACGGGAGTGATTTAAATAAGAAACAGAGAGCTGTATGGAGCCAGCACTGCTAAAATGTATGTATTCTAGGAGTTCTCTTCAATGTTTGGGATGGAATTATCTGTTATCTCAAATGAATAAAAGTATTGAGGCTTTGCAAAAAAAGAAGATTTTTAAAAAAAAAAAATAAAAATTGCCACTGCTGCAAGATTCTGTGGTGAGGATAAATAGATGGTCAGTATCAGGCAGACGGTCCATGCCAGATAGTCGCTTCAAAGTGTGAAAACAGCGATGGCTAAGCATGAACCTTTCACAGCTGTGCTGCTCACGGGCAGAGAGCCATTGCTTGCGCCCCAGTGTTTCCTCTGCAAGAGGAGACACAAAGCCACAGCGGTGCAAGGGGAGCGTGCCCTGCCAGGGCAGAGACAGTACCTGCACAGTACCTTTGAGGGCAGGCGGGGTGAAGACGCTCTGCTTCCTTTGCTTGGGAGAGGCACTCTGGGACTGGGGAGGGACAAAACACAGAGAGAGGCAGTGAGAGACGGGCACGGGGAGAGTTTTCTGTTCATGACAGCTCCAGGCCTTGTCCCGCAGCTGCTTTCAGAGCATACACACACCAATTTGTGAAGTTTCTAAGAAAATTATCTTGTATAAATCTGATGCCAGCTCCCAGGCTTTCATGAACACAGGGAAAACTAAGATTAGATAGAAAAACATGTGTTTTATGGAAAGCCTTTATGGCTCCCAGGCAAACCAAAACTCAATACTACTGAAGATTTCCCTTCACACTAAAAAAATATTGTTAAGCATAAAATTAAGGTAGCCTGTGCTTTTAACAGTCTATGTAACTGATTCTCATAAGACAAATAAATGTTTACATATATTAAAAGAGTTGCAAGACATACATTAACTAATATTCCAGTTAATTACAGTGTAATGAATGATGATTATATGTATAGGTAACGTAGTACTGAAATTATTAATATATAAATTTTTACATAATAAATGGAAGATCCCTCCCCCTGCACTTCTTCAGTGTGTTCTATTACTCCTAAAATAATAATTTCAGCAACCAATCACTCAGCCTTTAACTGGGCCTGATTTAAGTGATATACTTAGACACAGTTAAACTTTTATGGCCCCAAAATCACATCTATGCACAAAAGATAAATTATGCCAATGTAATGGTAGTAAAATTACACATAGAGTAATAGTAGTATAATTATACCAATGTATAGTTAGCAAAAACTAACTGGAATACATTCCAGTGCTAAAGCAGAGCAACTTTTGCAAAATGAAAGCAGTCAAATTGGTGTCCATATTATACCAACATGAAATATGTCCATATACAAAGGATAATAAAGGTCACACACATAGCTGGCTTTTGAAAACATAAGGACCATATCACATTCCTAAGAAAAAGGCTAAAAAAGTGTGTAGGCAAGCTTTGTTTTTTCTCATCTAATCAATTTCTAGTTGTATTTGGTCATAACAATGTTGGCTTTCCCCAATTATTTGCTAAAAATGCATCTTTCCCTGAGTCATTTGTCTGGT